GCCGTTCTTCAATGCTCGACCAATGTGTATCATGCATTAGGACATCTGCCAAGTCATGAAGTTGAGAAGGGGAGCTGGAGGTTACTTGAAGGTAAGGCTACATGAAGGTTTCATGGCCCTGCCTACATATTCTATATGAAAGAAGGTGAAGAAATTATTAATTTTTTTTTGTAGAGATTTGAAGGTAAAACAGGTTAAATACTAGACTCTACAACAGTCATTGCCATTGATAAAGTTTGACTTTAGTTTAGAGTTTAGTAAGTAGGATGAGGTGTCGTGTGTAATACAGCTGCATGCACATGGACTATATGCACTTGAAATTGGGTCGACAATTCATTGGCTCCAAGATTCGTTCATTAATATTGCCGAGACCAGTTAATATGAATCATTGCCATTTATATTACGGTCACTGTAACTCATGAGCTCCGCCGCCGACGGCTTGGCGGCGGAGCTCCCTGGAGTTACGGTCAATGAAGCTAATGCAGTAGCACTAGCCACTATCAGTCAGGCATTATGAATGGCACATATGCGTAGCAGATTCGCCAGCTTTTTTTTTTTTTTTTTTACCTATGAATACCTATTTTTCATGGAAAAGGAATATCAAACATCGATTTATGGAAAAAAATACTTCATTACAATTGAAATGCGCCCTTACCTTTGTTTCTTTAGAGGGTTTTTACAAAGTCAAAGATCCACTCGGCTCGGCTGAAATCAAAAGTAAAACAATACCTCTCGATCACTGCACTGCATGCAATCAATGCTAATGCGTGTAGACCTCTAGCGCAGCACTACGCTAGGAGGCAGCAATCGCACACATGAATAGTCTATACACAAATTACAAACGAACGTACACAATAAATACGATGCGGTTGATCGGCAAGTTTGACAGTAGACTCACGGTTTAATTTTTTTAATTATTCTTTTTAACATCATTAAGTTAAAAAAAATATTATATTTTACTACTATTTAGGTGTCATCAATTGTCACTGGTATATCTGTTTTGAGTGGAATCAGTTGAGTATTGTACAGTGGTGTTTGAAATGTTGAGAATCAATAGCACAGATTTTAATACACAGCCAGGATAGTAATGCAGCTACGTGTGCTCACGATCAGCTGTCTCCGTAGGTTTACGTAATTGCGTGTCAATGCGCATGCGCGAGTCTTTGATCGAGCGGTGACGTCGATTTTCTCGTAAGTTTGCTGCTTCTCGATTTCTGAAAAATACCCCATTCATTTTCCATTGTATCTCCGAAAATAAGTGATGGTCACAGCGAAAATTTCGTCACCAGCACCGTAAAGGTCTCATGAATATGCATATTAAGTCTCATGAATAAATAGCCATATGACCAGATGTGTCTGGTAATAATCTGAGGGTAGTTTTCGGAGACGACTGAACATGAAATGTTTGATAAAATGATAAATAGATCATCACTTAATACAATTTTTCATATATAGTTCGATATGACTATTTTACATCATTCCTGAGAGTCTGAGCGAAATCCGCCGATGAACAAAGAAGATATGAGAGAGAGAAATTTCGGTGAAAAAGTGAGCTTGGCAACGTGAGTGCTTCGATGACCGTTGAATATTCAAAACGATTTCGGTGTTATCAGTGAGATAATTGGCATGCTCCGCACCGCCTGATGATAAAAATGAAGAAGGAGAAGGATGCTACTAACTACGGCGTTATGACCAACAAAATATCTAGAGAAATAACTAACTACATGTATATAGAGAATGATCTTCTTTGCGCTTGCGAAAGAGAGAAGGAAACAATACAACTGAAAAGATACCGAAACAGAGAATCATATGAGATTTTAAAAAAAACAAAAAAACATGAAAATTCCCAATATAGGGGCAGAGAACTCTGTTGATCGATCTTTTCGGACGACCACAACGCATTGCACATGACGTGGCATTTCAATAGATGGCGCTATTGCACACAACTATCTGAGGTATTGCCTATTGCTCAACCCCTGCGAAGATTGCAACATTATAATGATTCACTTTCTCAGGGCGTGCATGAACTCTACGTATAGTATAGGTCACGTGATGCCAATGGTTGATTAGTTTCATCAACATTGAATATCATGTATCCGAGCTTGCCATTCGCTAGCTCAACGTATACGCCTACTCTGAAAATAAGATTAATAACAGAACTATATAGCCTACCATGCGCTGCTTGCATGATAATGTTACATCAGTGGCTAATCGCATAATAGCATCTCTCTCTCTCTCTCTCTCTCTCTCTCTCTCTCTCTCTCTCTCTCTCTCTCTCTCTATGTTTTCATATAATTTGTATATTTCTCTAATTCCTTTGATACTCTTTACATATCCCTTTTTTTTCCTCCTCTCTTCTATCTATCTAAATCTCTACGACTATCTCTGTTCAACGAACGTTGAAAAAGAGGAAAAGTACATGTATATCTAGAAAGGTATATAAAGGCGTTTTTATCCAAAGGACGGAGGATTGGGGATCGATTGCGTTACCAACCGGAGCCCCCCCCCCCCCCCCTCCCCGAGCATTTTTAGAAGAATATTATTATTTTTTTATGCCTCCGCTACAAAGTAGCCGGAGGCATTATGTTTTTGGGTTGTCCGTCCGTCCGTACGTCCGTCCGTACGTACGTCCGTCCGTACGTCCGTACGTCCCGTTCTCGTGATCGCGTTATCTCAAGAACCGATTGGTTGATTCCCGCCAAACTTGGGTCATGTATGTATCTCACAGAGCCAATGAACTGATTAGATTTTGGGGTCACGAGATCCAGGTCAAAGGTCACAGGGCTCATTATTTATGCGAAAATGGCTCGTGATCGCGTTATCTCAAGAACCGATTTATGGATTCCTGCCAAACTTGAGTCATGTATGTATCTCACAGAGCCAATGAACTGATTAGATTTTGGGGTCACGAGATCCAAGGTCAAAGGTCACAGGGCTCATTATGTATGCGAAAATGGCTCGTGATCGCGTTATCTCAAGAACTGATTGATGGATTCCTGCCAAACTTAAGTCATGGATGTATCTTGCAGAGCCAATGAACTGATTAGATTTTGGGGTCACAAGGTCGAAGGTCAAAGGTCACAGGGCTCATTATGTATGCAAAATAGCTTGTGATCGCATTATCTCAAGAACCGATTGATGGATTCCTGCCAAACTCAGGTCATGTATGTATCTTGCAGAGCCAATGAAATGATTCGATTTTGGGGTCACCAGGTCAAAGGTCACAGGGGTCTTTATGTATCCAACAATAGCTTGTGATCGCATTATCATGAGATCAAATAGACAGATTACTATCAAACTCAAGTCATGTATGTATCTTGCAGAGCCAATGAACTGATTAGATTTTGGGGTCACCAGGTCGAAGGTCAAAGGTCACATGGCTCATTATGTATGCCAAAAATAGCTTGTGCATGCATTATCATTAAAACCCACAGATGGATTACAATCAAACTTGAATTTAAAAATTGTTTCTGTTTTGGTTTGTAAAATTGCTCTATGGCGGAGGCATCATTTTTGACTGCGCGCAGTCAAAGTTCCATCTAGTTTATTCATGTTTTTTGGAAGGGGGGTTGGGTTAGCCTTTGTCTGGCGGGTTTACGATAAATATTTAAAATACCAAATAACATGGAACCCCTCTTCGTCATTTTTGAAAAATCTTGACGAGAAACCAGAAATCAATTTACTTGTTTTTTTTGTTTTTTTTTTTTTTACTACAATGCAAGAAATATGAAAGAGAAAGAAGAGTATGCAAAAATGATTGAAATGTAATACGTTCGATTTAGTAAAATTATTAGGGAATTTATCGGATTTTAGAGTCCTCTTAGATTATATTAAAGCTACAAACAGATTTGAAATGTTCGTATAGATCTAGTGCGTTTTCCTCTGGGAGTATCTTATGATTATGATTATGATTGAAATGTTTGAATATCATCAGTATTAAAATCATAAGGATGATATCCTTAAGATTAAAATGCACCACTATAATGGTGAAGTGAAATTCAATATAATTAATCTTGCACAGTAGCACTTCGCTGATACAGGTGAGCCAACTCATGACTGGAAAACAGAAGTCTGGAGAGACAGACCCCCATCAGTAAAAGTGAGCCATGAGATCAAGTTCGAAAAGATGAACATGCACCAAAATTAAGGAACGCCGTGCATGGCGCATATATAAGATTGAAGAGCGCCATCTAAACGCCAACAACAACAACATCATTAAATCACTCACTGACGGACGACGTCACACCGAAGTGAAAAGGCTGTGGTAAATCAATTTTTATGAGGGTAAACTATAAAATTTCATCAACATTATATGTTATCAGCCAAAGATTCATTGTTTATTTGATTTTTGAATATTTATTATTGCTAATTGCATGATTTTATCGCTTTATCGTGTAGGTGATTGACTCAAGTTTATGTTTGGTCCCATACATTGAAAATTGTGATGGATAAAAGTTGGGAAGTGAACATTCATTGACCTAACTACTGCTAGTGCTAAGCATGTGTCTTTATCTTCCACTGTTTCACGTACAGCCACAGGAATTTGAGATATTCCAACAATTGTTTTTGAATGAATTAATATCCAAATTTCTTTTCCTTCTAGATCTACTTTTCTTCAAGTAAAGTTAGGTTGAGCATTGAATTCTTTCAGATTTTGTGTCAATATATTTTTTTTAAAGCCAAGGCCGAGCCCGATTCCAAAGACGAATTCAGCCATTGACAACTATGCTTCTGAATTACTAAGTTTTAGTAAATGTTGTTGTCGTCAGTGACTGTTTTTGTGTGTGTTAACTTTAATGTGTAGATCATTGTTCAACTTTGTCTTGAAAACTAAGTACTTAAATCAATGTAGACTTGAGATCTATCATCTAGATCTAATTGTATGAATCGTTGCGTATGAAATAATGAATTTATCCTGAAACGAAAAGAATAAAAGTCTAAACTTCACAGTAAACTAATGCTCAATCAAAAAAAAAAATCTGTTTATTCTCATACCAGGATTTCCATCATGTTTTCTCTGCTATATGGGTTATGGCAGTTCATGTTCAGACGGGATGAGTTCTTTATTCTCATCCTTGGCTTAGACAATGCAGGCAAGACGGTGAGTTCACATTGGTACTTGCTCATCATTTTATGACACATGCCCTCTGGTGTCGATAGCTCCATGGGTTATATGTCAGTTATCAAAATTCTACCTTTTAATAAGTCGGTAATTCTTTATTCCTGCACTTTTTCTCAAAATGCATTGGGTTGCTTGTCAGATTTATATTTTTTGACATGTACTTAGTTCAACTTTATTTTTTTTTGAGTTTATTTTGTGTTCTTATAGTTTAAAGAATAAAAAAAAATCATATAGTTGTCAAAGTACAGCAAAGTACCTTGTTTTTTGTTCAATTTTTAATGTTTTGGAGAAGAAAAAAATGCAGCTTTCTTACTATCAATTGAGGTTTATATCTTGAAACTTAAAACAACAAAAGTTCAATTGGCAGCCATCAATTCATCACAAGTATAAGAAGTGAGTTAGAAGATGAAGGTTCAGAGTTTTATTTTGATTGTTATTATTTTCATTTTTTTCTTCTTCTACATGTATGTGTTCCTTAGACATTCTTAGAACAAGCTCAGATGCAGTTTGTGAAGGGATACAAGGCCAAGGCATTGGATAAAATTACAACTACAGTTGGATTGAATAGTAAGTATTCTATACAATAAAATACTCAATTGCTCTAAAAAACATACATACACATTTTTAAAGGATTTCACCACAGGGCTATTCTGTACACCCCATACAAGACTTGGGAAAACTCCTCAAGGCTACTTTGAAAAAGAAGTAATCAGTGGGGAGATGAGAGTTGGTATAGCGATGTTCGTGCTATGGCAGTGTCCGTGGTACCGTAAGCCGTCTCTTTTTGCCTTCTTACTGACTCAGCTGACCCCGGTTCAAGACTGAGTCACTTCTTTTAAATGGTGATCTTAAAGGTCGGTCCCCAGTGTAAATAATCACATCTGATCAATACACATCTGTAAAAACCAAAATTACACATATGGTATTTCATATTCAAATGCTAATAATGATATTGTGTGAACAGGAATCCCAAAAGACCTGTTTGAATTATTGGCCCCACTACCTGATGTACTTTCTACCTGTTGTTTTTTTGTTCAGTTGGAAAGATTGATATTTCCTCCGTTCGTCTCATGTTCTGGGATCTTGGAGGGCAGGAGGAATTACAAGCTCTATGGGACAAGGTAGGGTAATCATCACAACATTTATGCTCTTTCCATTTTCATTTCTAATTCTTTGTCTCCACGATTTTTATTTTTACTTCTTGTCTCCACAAAATGCTGTTGTTTATACTTTATTTTATTCATAGGTTCGATTGAATTATTTGTGTCAGAGAAAACTATGTGTGTAGTCCTGAGAAGAGGTATTCTTTCTTGAGAGATGTTTTAGTTCTGATGTCCTTTGGCAAGACATTAATCTACACGTGCCACTCTCGACCCAGGTGAGGTACATGTAGATGGGTGCATGGTAGGATTATTCCTTGAAATGCACTCTGCGCTGATAACGGTTGCCAGAGCTAAAGCTGGGGTAATATCCCCCCCCCCCCCCAAAAAAAAGCTCTTTGAAAGCGTATAGGGACGTTATAATGTGATATACAAGAACAGAATATTATTGTTATTATTATTAAAAGAACTATAAATTAATTAAACTCATATATCGTCGCTGTTTTCACGAAGTGACGGTAGTGAAAAGAAATTGCATTCACTTTGCGTGATGATTTTCCTCACTACCGTCACTTCGTGAAAACAAGGACGATATGTTGTATAGGACACTTTGTATGAAACGGCAAATTTGACTGTATTGTAGTGTTAATAACTGTTCACTGTTTTTCTTCTGACCAGTACTATGCCGAGTCACATGGTCTGATCTATGTAGTAGACTCATCGGACCCTAGCAGATTAGAAGAATCAAGAATAGCATTTGGTAAGTTATACCCCTCCCTTCCTTTTGGTTTAAACAGTCTTCCAAGCATTTCTTGATAATAAATTCCCTGATTTTTCCCCGACTAAAAAATGGGGACTTGATTTCCAGGTTTGCACCGATTGCCTGGAGTGTTTCACAAAGATTGTAAGTTGAACTTATCTCTAAGATGGACTTAACAATTATGGAAAGCTGTTAGCATCTTTGAAAAAAAATTGTTAAAAATATTTTAAAAGGCATAAAATGATGATTCAAAGCATTCATATTTTCTATTATCATGGGAGATTTCATGTTCATGATGTGGAATTTATGAAAAGTCTAAAATAATTTTGGTTATATTTAATTTTAAGGCTACAAATGGCTCTCCATGATGTTTAAGTCCAACTTAGAGTTTAAGTTCGACTTCGGATCTTAGTGAAACACCCCCAGGATAGCTAGGATCCATTTTGAATTGAAGTTCTGGAGCTCCATATGGGTGCTACAAGGTCATCTAGGGCCTACCAAGACCAGCTTTCCAAAATGTGCATTAGAAAATATGATCAACGTTAGTTTTATATTTAGTGATATCATTAGAAAGGTCAGGATATTCTTTAAAAGATCAGATTTGTGAATGATTATGATAATCTCAAAGTAGTAACAATGGTCATATGATTGTTATTGCAGCTATATTTCTGGGAATTAAAGGGAGAGGATTGAAATATACAATTACTGGTATTACATCAGTCATTAAATAAAAGCAAATGGATTCAAATTAATTAATCAGTCACTCAACCAATCAATTAATCAATCATTAAATTAATTATTTAATCAATCAATCAATCAATTACTTTTGATATGGAAGTCAAAATGATTGAGAGGTTTCATCTTCATTAGGATATATGGTAGCTTAGTGATGGTTCATGACTGGTTCATGGTCATGTGACAAGGGTGTTAGGAAAGCAAGTTGATGGGCCCATACCATTTGGTAACCGATTAAGAAGAGTCTTGGAGACCCCTCAGAGTTGTAGGTCATCCAGAATGTTTACATAAAGTTAATGAACGCACATACCAGGTATTTCCTTTTTTAGCAGTTAAGATATACAAATATTATAACAATCATTCATTTTGAAACATATTCACTTGCTTTCTCCCTCCCTCCCTCTCTTATTCTCTCTCTCTCTCTCTCTCTCTCTCTCTCTCTTTCTCTCTATCAAAATTATCTCGCTCTATTCCTGCCTCCCTTCCTATCTCTCTCAATATTCTCTCACTCTCTCTCTCTTCTGTCTTTCTGTCTCTCTTTCTCTCCTCTCTCTCTCTCACTCTCTCTCTCTCTCTCTCTCTCCCCCTCTCTCGTTCTCTCTCTCTTTCTCTCTCTGTTCATTCCTCAGAGCAAATGTTGGAGAGTGAAGCCCTAATGGGGGTTCCTCTGCTAGTTCTATCTAACAAACAAGATGTGGAGGTGAGTGAGAAAGGAAATATTTTAGGAATCATGTCCTTAAACTGACTTGGTAACATTGTTCAGATGAGAGATAATGGTGCTAAGGTAGTGACTTCAATGCTAGATGTACAATTAAAGATAATCTGAAAATTTGAGCGAAAACGGACCATTATTCATGGTACAAATTGAGAAAAACTGATCTGATCGATTCCTTAATTCTCCCAACTATGTTATTACAATTTAATTACATTGTAGGTGAATGGAAATCGTCACAAAGCAATAAAATGGCTCTACATTCCATTCCAGACATTTAAGTGTTGACAGCTTTTTTATAGCCTGTTTTAAGTCTTTTTTTTCATGGAAAAACGATTGGGAAAATTCAAAAATGGTTGGGAGAATTTACTGTTAATCACTGTTAAAGGGTGTCATACATCGACGCCTTCAAAGAAAACCATAGATATCTTCATGGTTTGAGAATTTTGTTAGAATTTTCTGCATGTCAGAGGGTTAGCACAGTAGAAGAAATATAGTAAGTAACATTTTATACAAAAATTAAGCAATTTTGTTATCAATCTTCAACAATGTTACCAAGTCACTTTAATGCTGAGTCAACCCTGTGATAGTTTGTTTAAACTTCATGACTTCCATTTTCTTAGTTATTGATGACGAAATATATTTAGTTCCATACAGGGGTATAGAATCATATTTTTAGTACAGGGAAAATGGCAGGGGACCTCACAAGATACATCATGGAGTTGCCAATGTGTGTTTGATTGATTGCAACTTCAAAAGTCATAACTTCCTCATTTTTAATCAAACAAATTATGGACAGCCATTGGAGCCTTAAAATGAAATATATTCAAAAGCAGAAATTCAAGTATTTTAGACTTTTTATAAATTCCACATCAAGAACATAGAATCTCCCATGATAATAGAAAATATGAATGATTTGAATCAACATTTTATGTCTTTTGAAATAACTTTTACAAAATGTTTTCAAGGATGCTAATGGCTTTCCATAATTTTTAAGTCCAACTTAGAGATAAGTTCAACTTAGGATCTTTGTGAAACACCCCCCTGGCTTGAATGCTCTACAGAGAGTGGAGAATGTGCACACCTATGGGAAAGCCTAAATCTGGTGACTAGGCTGATACTGAAACTATTTCTGTGCTTAGAAACTTACAGTGAAATCTGCTTTAGTAACCTCCTGTATAGAAAGAACACATGACTACAATTTTCTATTTAATTTTCCTAGTTGGATACTTTGTTGGGGGAGGGGGTTTACTTTGTAGATACCCGGATTCATAGTCGGGGAGATGGTTGTCCTGTAATCTGTAATGTCCATGTGTATACATGTTATCTCCTCTTTTTCTGTCATAAATAATTGTAAAAATAACATAGAATTTGATACTGTTGCCAGCTTTTTTACAAACATATGTCAATTATTTATTTAATTTCTCACCCAAGTAAAAGAAAAAATAGAACATTACATTTGGACGCCCAAAATATTAATTTGACAAACATTAACCTGACCTTTCTGATGAACTTCACTGACTATTTCAGGGTCATCTGCCGGCTGAGGAGGTGAAGAAAGAATTCAACAAGACGGCTAAGCTCATGGGCCATCGAGCATGTCGTCTACAACCTGTATCTGCACTGACTGGGTAAGACACATACTTTCTAGTTTGGGTTCAGAGTTTATCTGCCCTATCTTGGGGCTTCAGAATGCAGAAGAGAACTAGATTTTCTACCGTTCATTGTTATTGCTCTGAATTAAGTCACAATTACTTGATACGTCAAGTTATCTCATCATTGGAAGCCCCTGATAAGAAAGTTTTTAGATACAATCTGCACACTTTATTTCATTTCATTTCATTTATTTCCATATTTCTCATGTTACATATACATTTCAAAATAAAGTACAATTTAAAAAAAAAAAGTAAATTGGTGATAAAATAACAATCAATAATACATAATAAATAACATAAAGATAAGTGGTCAATATAGAGTACTGATTTAACTGATTTAAAGATGAATTTGAGTTCTGGTCATGCAATTGCATTGTGAAATAAACGTTGTGGAATCGATCAGAAAAGGTTGATCATCTAGCATATAAGAATTTGTGTGTATTGCAAGGTTCTGGAATCATCAAAATGATAAGAAATTTGGCCAAGTCTTGGTAAAGTTACAAACACTGTACACAGAAAGATGTATATGGGACTACACAAACATGTGGCGTAAAAATCCTACCCCCGAGTTTTACATTGTTACATGACATATTTAGAATATAAAGGCATTTGAAGAGCCATGCTTTTCTGGGAACATGTCTTATCTGATGTTCTTCCACACTTGCATAATAAGAATGATAACTCTCACAAATTATTTTTCACCTCTTCCCAGAACTCAACCTTCTCTTTAATATGAGCAGACAGAGATCACTTCACTCACTTGTACAAAATTTGTTAATTTTGTAAATTTGTACAAGAATACTGGAAAGGTGCTCGTGAAAGTTATCCAATGATTATTTATTTCTGCACCAATGGTGAATTCACAGATACAAAGGTTGCAGTATTACCCGTTGGTCCCCCATGATCCCCTTTTTCTTATATTAATTGAGAGCTGATTTGATGAGATAACCATCTGTCAGTGACCATGTAGGGAGGTCTAATCCCTCTTGGCCAAACTAGTGTAGACAGGCTTTAATTTCTCTCCATGGGACTTAGTAATGAGGAATTGATACCTTAAAGGTATAGACCAGTTTTGAAAACGCTCCCCTCCCAAAAAATGAAATGGAAGCTCTTATTACCAATCATGTGAAAGAATATGTTTTGACCAATACGTGATGATACAAATTTTGCCGGGAAACTGCCTACTAGTTGATATAATATTTGGTAAATTATCATATCGATCCAGGCAAGATAGATATCGCGAAGGCACTTTAACTTCAGCATCTGGGCATATATTTCTGTTTTTTGCGAATTTAGGTTGAAGTGTTGCTATCTACACCTCTGAATGCAATATTTAAACAATATTGAATGGATATTTTGCACCCAAAACCCTTGAACCACAATTTTACCACTACCGGTCTATATCTTTAACAAAGGACACTAGGTTTCGAAACTCGGAATCACCTGTTACGGAGACCACCGCTCTACCACTGAGCAATTGCACCTCCACATATATTAAAATTTCCACATTGAGGCTTGCTTTCAATAAAATGTTTCATTATTTTTAACCTGTACAGAGAAGGAGTTCACGAGGGTATCGCCTGGCTTGTAGACAGTGTCAAACACAATGCACCATGGAGACCGCCTAGGGAACCAGAAATTCATTGAGTGCCTAAAGAAGCATTCAATTGAGAATTTAAGACTATATTTGCTCTTAATGACTATACAAGTCACATGTAGATTGCAATATCACTTTTTAATGTAGGCCCTATCGTCTGCTAAGAGCCTGAATGGTGTCAGAACTGGGGAGTGTTTCACAAAGATCCTAAGTAGAACTTAACTCTAAGTTGGACTTAAAAAATATGGAGAGCCATTTGTAGCCTTAAAAGGAAAGTTATTCAAAAGCAGAAATTCAAGTATTTTAGACTTTTGATATCAAGAACTCCACATCAAGAACATGAAATCTTCTTGATAATAGAAAATATGGATGATTTGAATCAACATTTTATGCCTATTAAAACAACTTTTTACAAAATATTTTCACAGATGCTAATGGCTTTCCATAATTGTTATAATAATAATAATAATAATATTCTGTTTTTATATAGCGCTCAATACATCGATCCAACGATGTACCTAAGCGCTTTACAGATATATTATTACCCCGGTTCAACTTAGGATATTTGTGAAACACCTCTCTGATCATTTACATTTACTGAGCTTATGCCCTTGTAGCTTACTGCTGACATATTCCAATAAAAGATCTTGCATTTTAATTAGAATCGAAAATTTAGATGTTTAATTCTTCCTGGCAGAGGTGTAGAATAGTCTTGAAATATTGGTACGAAATGTGCAGGTTATAAGCCTTCCAGTCATAGATATATAGCTAAATCAGCTGTAAATCAATTGAAAGTCATGTGACTCGTGTGACATCCCTGCGATTCAGAGCTGATTTCTTTGACTAGAACTCTGACTGATTTTTTGAAACCCTGCAACTTGAAATGATATTATTCATAATGACAGAGGGAACTTTCATGAGGATTAATTTGGAGAGGGAGAAATTGTAAAATGTTAATGATTTGATTGATATTAATAATTACAAAGATGTCCTTGACAATATGAAGTCAACTCTAACAGATGATAAATGTTACATCCATGTGTAAAGTTGTGCTCTTATTTGTGATAGAGTTTTATATCTTTATTTGCACATAGCAATTAAAACAGGATTATTATGACATTTTGAAGGTTTCATCAGTGAAACACAAATTAGCAACACTGTAATGTATCTTGTGATGTCCTCTCCGATTTGCTCTGTACAGAAAATGTCATATACTTTCATTTTCTTAGTTATTGATGATGGAATAGATTTGTTTCATACAGGGGTTGTAATAATATGTTCCGCGCCTAGAAACAAAGTATTAGGCGCATTTTAAATGTGAGCTATTATTATTATAATTATTGTATAGAAACGTATTAGCAATAATTTAGGGATGTATGTAAGCTTGAAAATCTGTAGGAAAAATACAAAATTTCTGTTTTTTTTTTGGGGGGGGGGGGGGTACAGGGTGAATGGGAGGGGAGTTCGCAAGATACCTGACAGAGTTGCCAATTCATGTTACATTGATCACAACTTCAAAAATTCAAAACATTATATTTGTTATCAGAACTTACTCAAACTATCACTAACATGTTCTCATGTTTCTGGTTCTTAATCTTAGAAACAAACCTAATATCAGGGTAGACATTCCCTTTATCACACAGATAAGTGACTAAACTTAGTGGCTCTGTTATCTGGAGATACTTGTCTCTTATCCCTATTTTCCATTAATTCACATGTAAAATTGTTTTAGTTGTACAGAGGCAGCTACTGTCGTGTGGGGATCGCCATAACATGGACGTGGTGGCAAACTACAGTTCTTACTTGTTTGGATATGTTTCTCTCTAGATATTTTGGATTGGATGGATATTTAAATGCAGTGGTGGATCCAGGGGTTAAAGGGGATGCACTTGCTGGGTGGGGGGGGGGGGGGGGGGGGGGGCATGTGTGACCTCACCAGCAGAAGGTCATGCGAAATACCTACGTAAACCCAAACAAAATATATTGGCCCTAATTTTGCCCCTCCTGACAGAAAATTTAGACCCCTAAAGGGCAACTGGAGAAAGTGATCAATCATTTTAGTTTATTTTTTGCTTATCAAATTTGTTGATTCTTCATTTTATTCTAAAAAATGTGCACCCCTTCCCAACCCCCACTCTGACTAGAGAATCCTGGATCTATTTGTCATCTTATTTATGTACTATATGAAGTGATTGTCTGAATGTATATCCCAATGTGATTATGTTAGATTTCTGATTTGTGTCGATCAATTAAGAACATTCTCATTCAAGAGGTATATTTATTGTAAAAGTTTCATAAATAAAATTGTATTTGTATGTAAATGGAGACAAATTTAATCACATGTTTGGTGTGTAGAGATCCTTGTTTTAAAGAAAAATAAAATGACGAGAAGGAATGGAGAGAGAGAGAGAGAGAGAGAGAGAGAGAGAGAGAGAGAGAGAGAGAGAGAGAGGGGGGGGGGTGGGGGAGGGGCTCAGGGATGAGATAAGAGAGAACTTTCGGGATAAGATTGAGAAAGACGGGATAGAGAGAATAAAGGAAGCGAGTGAAAGAGAGATGGGTCGTAGATGAGGGTATACGGGAGAGAGAAGGTGGAAGCTAAGA